CCCCCCCCCCCCCCCCCCCGGAACTGGGGATTGAACTCAGGTCCTTGCACTTGCCAGGGAAGCGCTTACTCCACTGAGCCATCTCCCCACCCCACCTTTTTTTTTTTGCAGAACCAGGGATTGAACTCAGGCCCCTGTGCTTTCCAGGCAAGTGCTTGTTCCACTGAGCCATCTCCCCAGCCCCCCTTTCTTTCTTTTTTTTTTGTACTGGAAATCAAACTCAGGACCTTATACTCACCAGGCAGGCACTGTGCCACTAAGCTAAATCCCCAGACCTAAAATTGTTTTCTTAAGCCAAGTGTGACAGTGCAGGCCTGTAACTATAGCACTTGGAAGGTTGAGGCAGGAGGATTACCATGAGTGCAAGGCCAGCAAGGACTACACAGCAAAATCCTGCCTCGGAAAAAGAAAACAAAATAGTCTTTTTTGTTTTTCATGGGATATGGTGGCAACTGCCTGTAGTCCCAGCCACTTAGGAGACTGAGCTAAGAGAATCTGTTGAGGTCAAGAGTTTAAGACTACACTGGGCATGCTGAGCCCCGGGGCACGCTGAGGCCGCCAGAAGACTAAAATGGGGCGTGGTAGCGCCTGCCTGTAATCCCAGTGCTTGGGAGGCTGACAACAGGAGAATCACTAAGAGTCTGATCCACAGTGGGACCCTGTAGACCCTGTACCAAATACATTAAAAAAAAAGTTTAAGACTACATCCTTGGGCTGGAGAGATGGCTCAGTGGTCTAAAGCACCTACTTGGAACAAGCTTGGCAAAGCATAGGGACCTCGGTTCAATCCCCCAGCACCACATGCCAGCCAGCCCCGCCCCCAGGTGGGCTGAGCTGGCCACACACACACACACACACACACACACACACAAGGAATAAATAAAAAATTTTAAAAAAATAAAAAAAAAAAAAAAAAGACTACATCCTTGGCAACACAGCAAGAGCCCATCCCAAAGGAATGAAACAAAAATTATTTTTGTGGTAGTGCTGGGGATTGTGCCCAGAGCCTGAGCTGTCCTTTAGTCTGGCCACTTGAATGCTGGCACCTAAACTGCATGATTTGTCTGTGGGGCCAAGGAGATAGCTGAGCAGCCTGGTAAGCACAAGGTGCTGAGTTTGATCCCTGGTACCAAAAAAAGTTCTGCCTGGTCTGTGTGTTTTGTTGCTGGGGTGAAATAGTAGAGATCCCTTAGCACAAGGAAATAAATCCTGGGGCTCTCAGACTCCTCTCTGTGTCCCCGGATGCTCTGGTGAGGGTGTGGCTCACCTGAACCTGCCGATCCTCCGTAGATGTGAGAACATCTCCCCGCCGGGCACGTACTCCATGACCATGTACAAGTTGGAGTTGTCCTGCGGGAGGCAGGGAGATCAGGGCTCTGTGGAAAGGCAGCCTTGCTGCACAGGGCGAGGCAGGTAGTGACATAGCATGCCCTTTATCCTGCCCTTCAGGAAGAAGAGGCAGGAGGTATCCTGTCCTCCAAAGGGTAGAAGCAGGGTTCTCCTGTCTTCCAGGAAGCACAAGTGGGGCCGAGGTGTGCCATGCCCTGGCTGAAGAGCAGACTGCGGATTCTGCAGTAGCTCACACGTGGGAGCCTGAGGAAGGTTCAGGGGGGTACAGTTTTTTAATCTGTAAAATGGGTCCCCAGAGAAGCTACTGGGGGCTCCAAAAGAGAAGGATTTGGGGGCTCCAAAAGCAGATGAGCTGGGGATGGTGATGTATGCCTGCAGTCCCGGCTACTGGGGAGATGGAGGCAGACCTGCAGGCAGGGGTTGGGAGTGCTTGAGTCCAGCAGTTGCAAATAAACTTGAGGAACACTGGGAAGCCCCATCTCTTAGGGGGGGGAAAAAAAAAAAAAAAGAGGAGGTCCTCAATCAAAACAAAGCAAAACAAATGTCAAGAGAGCAGTGGCAGGGCGCTAGCAGCATAGCTGTCTTCAGCCCGCAGAGGGCAGGCTCGGCTCAGCACATTGTGTGCACTGCGCCAACCCACCTGGGGAGCCTTAACACAGACTAGCAAGATGCACCCTGGGCTGTGAGCTTGTCCTTTGGGTCAAACACAGGGAGACACAACTGGGGCCGCCCTCCTGGCTGTGTCTGTCAGGAAGCAGCCCCTGGGACACCCTGCAGGTGACCTGCCCAGGGGTCCCCTTCTCTGGGGCCGCCTCCTTTCCTGGTCCCATCCCAGAGTCCCTGAGCTCTGGTCACCAAGCCCCACCTTGAAGGAGTACTCGAGTCTGACCAGGAACGGAAAGTTGACCGCCTGCAGGATGCGCTTCTCATTGAGGGTGTGCTCGATCTGTTTCAGCTTCACTACCTGTGGGGCACAGAGGATAGCCGTGAGAGGGGCTGGGAAGTCAGGGTGCCAGGCCCGGGTGCTGAGGAAACAGGAAGGAGGGAACCCAGGGTGAAGAGTGAAAAGTGTAGGAGCCACCAGCTTCACCACCCAGAGCAGCCAGAGCTGTGCTCCGGGAAGGCTGGGGCCTTAGAGGTCTGGCCAAGGTGGCCAGCAGAGTGGACAGGGGCAATCAGAGAGGGCTCCCTGCAGGAAGGGTTGGGGGGCAGCCCTGACTGTGGGGACCAACTCTACACACCACCCTGAGCTCAGCCTGGTCCCTCTTCAGACTTCAGTTGTCCCCTATAGTTATTTGGAGGAGCTGGCCATGGTGGCCCACACTCCAAAAGCCTGAGGCAGAAGGATGAAAAGTTTGAGCTTGGCCTGGGCAATTCCAGGACTCAGAAGACCGTCTCAAAATAAAGGGATGAGGATGTAGCTCAGAGAGAAGGCTCTGGATTTCAGCCTCAATAATACTACTACGAAAAAGAAAAATGTTTGGGAGAGTGAGGCAAGAGGATCACTGTGAGTTCAAGGCCCACCTGGGCTACATAATGAGTTCAGAAACAGGCAAGATACAGTAGATAATCTAGATACAATGCTGCGAATCTAGAAGAGGTTTCAGAACCAACAGATCAGTCCTTTAAACTGCTGGAGGCTGAGCCAGGAGGATTAGCATGAGCTGAGGCTGGCCTAGGCTACACAAGGGAGTTCAAGGCCAGCCTGCACTACATGGTGAGATCCTGTAGGTCTCTCTTTTTTTTTTTTTTTTTTTTTTGTATTTTAGGGAAGGGTCTACAGGCTATTCAGGGTCTCACTACTAGATTGGACTTGGAGTGATCCACCTGTTTACAGCCTCCCAAGAGCTGGGATTACAGGTGCACGCCACCACGCCCAACACAGCAGGCCAGGGATCGAATCCTAGCCCCTGCACCTGCTTGCAGGCACTTTAATCCGCTGAGCTATTTGGCTGGCCCCTCTGTAGGTTTATTTATTTAATTTTTTATTTTTTGCGGAACCAGGGATTGAACTCAGGTCCTTTCACTTGCCAGACAAGTGCTTATTCCACTGAGTTATCTCCCCGGCCCCTGTAGGGTTTTTAAAATACATACTCTCAGAGGGCTGGAGTGTAGCTCAGTAATGGAGTCCTTGAGTGTAGTCTCTCTCTCCCTCTATCTCTGCTTTTGTGGTCTTCAGCATGGAACCCAGGACTTCCTACACTAGGCATGCGCTCACTCCAGAGTGCCTGTGAGACACAGGCAGAACCTGTGAGGTCACACCTGGAGCACGGCAGTTCGGAAGGCCAGAGTGGGGCAGTGACTTGGCCAAGGTCACACAGCTGGTGTGTGTCTGCTGTGAACGCTGGGCCAGTGCTTGTTCCTGTTCATACCAGAGCTCTCCCCAGGGTCCATGCCACAGGCGTTTGGGCTGCTGCCTCTAGAGCTAAGGGCTCTGAGCCCTTCAATGCAGCCAGTTGACTTAGGAATCGAAGTTAACATTTTAAGTATTCACTATGAAAATTTAATTAATTAATTTATTTATTTATTTTGGCGGAACCAGGGATTGAACTCAGGCCCTTGCGTTTGCCAGGGAAGCGCTTATTCCACTACACCATCTCCCCAGCCCCAACTATGAAAATTTAAATACTGACCACATACTGGATAACAAGATTTTTTTTATTTTTGAGAGAGAGAGAGAGAGAGAGGGTCTCACTGTCTCCTTCAGGCTACCCTCCAATTTATGGTAATCCTTTTGCCTCAGCCTCCTGAGTGTTGGGATTATAGGCATGCACCACTATACCTGGCTCCTTGCCTTTTTTTTTTTTTTTTGCGGGATCAGGGTTTGAACTCAGGATCCTGCGCTTGCCAGGCAAGCGCTTATTCTACTGAGCTATCTCCCCAGCCCCCCTTGCCTATTATTATTTTTTGTTTTTGTTTTTTTGCAGAACCAGGTATTAAACTCAGGCCCTTGTGCTTGTTAGGCAAGCACTTATTTTACTGAGCCACCTCCCCGGCCCCAAATGTGTGTTTTTTTGTTTTTGTTTTTTCCCTTACCTATTATTTTGTTTTTGTTTTTGTTTTTTTTAAATTTTTTTTTACATTTATTTATTTAGTGTGTGTGTGTGTGTGTGTGTGTGTGTGTGTGTGTGTGTGTGGCCAGCTCAGTCCACCAGGGGGCGGGGCGGGCTGGCATGTGGTGCTGGGGGATTGAACCGTGGTCCCTGTGGTTTACTAAGCTTGTTCCAAGTAGATGCTTTAGACCACTGAGCCATCTCACCAGCCCGTTTTTGGTTTTTTGAGACAAGGTTTCTCTGTGTAGTTTGGACTGGCCTTGAACTCACAGTGATCCTCCTATCTCAGCTGTCCAAGAGCGGGGATTATAGGAATGCAGCACCTAGCAATGACTTTTTTTTTTTTTTTTTAAAAAAAAAAAAACAATGCCGGAGAAAGAACCCAGGGACTTTCACCCAGGCAGCTATGCAAGTGCTCTACCACCAGGCTACACCACAGCACTCTGAGTAATTTTATTTTTACACTCTTGGGGATTGAACCCAGGGCCTTTGCACTGAGCTATATCCCAGCCCCCCTTTTTATTTTTCATTTTGAAGTAGGGTCTTGCTAAGTTGCTGAACTGCCCAGGTTAGGCTGGACCTTGAAATCCTCCTGCCTTGACATCCCAGGGGGGTGGGCTGAGTAATATTCAAGTAAGTTTGGATGAACTCTAGCACATAAATCTGTCTTTTCAACTTTTCAACATGTCTCTCCAAGGGATAAAGGACCATCTGAAGGGAGACCTCTTGTGTGTAGGGGGGTTGGGTTGGTGGGTTTTTTTTTCTGTATTGGGAATCAAACTCAGAGCCTTGTGCTCGCCAGACAGGCACTGTGCCACTAAGCTATATTCCCAGCCCTTGGTGCTTTTGCTTTGTTTTGAAACAGGGTCTTGCTCTGTAGGCTGGTCATGAACTCAAGAAAATTTCCGTCTTAGCCTTCCTTTTCTTGGTAGAACTGGGAATTGAACTCAGGCCTTGCACTTGCCAGGGAAGTGCTTGTTCTACTGAGCCATCTCCCTGGCCCCCCACCTTAGCCTTCCAACTGTTAGGATTATAGGCTTGTGCCATTCATGCCCAGTTTATTTTTACCTTCTCACTTTTAGAGAAGGGTCTACAGGGTGTTCAGGGTCTCACTACTAGATCGGACTCATACTGATCTGCCTGTTTACAGCCTCCCAAGTGTTGCCATGCCCAGTTTAGACAGGGGCTTGCTATATAGTCCAGGCTAGCCTTGACCTCACTATGAAGTACAAACTGAGCTCAAATTTATGTTGCTCCTCCTGACTCAACCTCCCAAATGCTGAGATTATAGACATGTGCCATGATACCCAGCCCAGGACATTTTTTTTTCTTTCTTTTTTTTTGGTGGAACCAGGGAGTGAATCCAGGATGTTTTAATACAGGGAAAATATATAAAATCTTTCTTTTTCTTTCTGTTTCTTTTCTGGTGCACTCTGGATGGAAACCAGGGCCTTATATATGCTAGGCACTCTTATCACTGAACTATATCCTCAGCCCCTTTTTTAAAAATTACTTTACTTTGAACCACGAATGGTGTCACACGCCTGCAGTTGTAGTGCTCAGGAGGCTGAAGCGGGAGGATTGAAGCTAGTTTGAGGCCAGCCTTGGTTACATAGGGAGTTCAAGGCTACCCCAAATTACAAAATGAGATTGGTGTTGTTTTTTGTTTTTTTTTGGTACTGGAAATCAAACTCTGGGCCTTGCGCTTGCCAGGCAGGCAGGCACTGTGCCACTGAGCTATATTCCCAGCCCTTGGCGCTATATCCCAGCCCTGCCCCTCAAAAACACAAAAAAAATTTTTTTTTCCTTTTGAGACAAAGCCTTGCTAAATTGCCCAGGGTGGCCTCAAACTTGTGATCCTCCAGCCTCAGCCTCTGGAGTAGCTCTGATTACAGGCCTGCAGCACCACACCTGGCCAAAATCTCTCATAACAAACCTTTCAGCTTGGCATGATGGTGCATGCCTGTACTCCCAGCACCTGAGAAGCTGAGGCAGGAGGATATAAAGTGTGAGACCCAATTTCAAAATGAAGAAGAACAAATTGCAGGAAAACTCAGTGCAAAGGCCAAGGGATCAATCCCCCCGTACTGAACAGGGGGTACGCACTTCCTTCCCACTGGCAGACGCTCCCCTGCATTTCTGACTGGAACCCCAGTAGCTGCTGGACGGGGCTCAGCCTTGGGAAGGCAGCGGTGCAGGGTCCCCTGGTCCTCTGGTATGGCTCACCATGGTGGCTTGGGAAACACAGTTGCCTCTCAGTCTTCACAGGGAATTGGTCCCCACCATAGGACCCACCACACCCAGGAGATAACCAGGGTCCGGTTTGAAGATGCTCAAGTCCCTTCTATGAAATGGCTTAAGCTGTAATCCCAGCATTTAGGAGGCCGAGTCAGGAGGAGTTCAAGTCCAACCTGGACTATATATCAGGGTCTTGAAAAGTCAAAAGAAATAAGGAAGGACACAAAGGGCACAGTATTTGTACAAAACCTATGCACATCTTCCTGTAGACTTTGCCTTTTTGTCCTGCTGGGAATGGAAGCCAGGGCCTGAAGCAAGGCTCACCTCTGAGCTGTTCCTAGCCTCTACAGACTGAGTCATATCTGGATGACTTAGAATCCCTAAACTGTGACGTTTAACCTCACTGTGTTTATGTGAGCTCAGTGCAGCACTTTGCATATAGCAAGAACAAGTTTTGTGTGTTTTGTTTGTTTTGTTTTTTTTTGTATTTTAGGGAAAGGACTACAGGGTGTTCAGGGTCTCACCACTAGATCAGACTCATAGTGACCTGTCTGTTTACAGCCTCCCAAGGGCTGGGATTATAGGCCTGCGCCACCACGCCCAGTCTCCATTGCCCTCTCAGCCTGCCCCAGGGGCGGGGCTGGCAAGGCAGGCTCAGGGATGAAACCCCTGGCCCCTGCGCTTGCTTGCAGGCACTTTAATCCGCTGAGCTATTTGGCTGGCCCCAAAAGCAAGTTTTGATTTCAGAATTTTCTAGAATATTATTTTATCATTTATTTCTTTAATTATGAGATAAGGTCTTACTACCTATTTCAGGGTAGCCTTAAAATCACTATGTAACCCAGACTCCTACTCACAGTGATCCTCCTGCTTCAGCTTTCTGAGTGCTGAGATTACAGGTGTGTGCCACCATCCTAAGCTGGAATTTTCTAGAATTTTTAGAAAACTATTTTCCAGCTGATCATGATGGTACACGCCTGTAATCCTGGGAGGATGGGGTAGAAGGATCAAAAATTCAAGCATCGGGGGCTGGAGAGATGGTTCAGTAGAATAAGTGCTTCCCTGGCAAGCACAAGGGTCTAAATTCAATCCCTGATTCTGAAAAAAAAAAAAAAAAATTCAAGCATCGCCTAGGGAACTTCACAATTTAGTAACACCCTATCTCAAGAATAAATAAAATAAAATAAAATAAAAAGGGTGGAGATCATAGCTCAACGTGAAGGCCTTGGGCTCAATACCTAGTAATCCCTGCACATTTGTTCTTGACTGCTGTGGCACAGAGGTGCTAGAGCAGATGGGGAGGTGAGGGGCAGCTCACCTTCTGTTTGTCCAGGATCTTCATGGCGTAGTGGCTTCCAGTGTCCTTGTGTTTTACCAGCATCACACGCCCGAAGGAGCCAGTGCCGAGGGTCTTGATACGGTCAAACTGATCCAGACTGGCTGTGTTCTGTGGTCAGAGGACGGGGGTCAGGGCACTGCCTGCTCCCCGAGCATTCCCTGGCTTGGGGGTGGGGGTACGGTCAGGAGGCCTGGCAGCTGCCATCAGGTGTGACCATGGGTGTCCAGTGAGGGGCACCTCATTTCAGCAGAGCCTCAGGGATCAGGCTGGTCTGGGGACTTTGGCCCATCCCTCTGAGGATCCCCCTTAGCAGCTCACCTGAGCAGGGCTTTCCCATTTTTTAAGAAAATCTTCTTTGGCTTTGGCTAAGAACTCTTTCACTGAAAAGAAGAGAGAACAAGGTTAGATGGAGACCCCCCCACCACGCTGCATGGAGACTAGGGTGCAGTCAAGTTATTTCTGGGGAGACCCACTTGTCAAAAGTGGGATGCAACTTTGTCCAGGGCCTGTGGGTGCCCTGCAGGCTGATGCAGAGGCTGCTGATTGGGCTGCAGTAGGGCACCCCTTACAGGATTGAGCTTCCATTTATCCAAAGTGGGTACAGGGAGACTAGGGGCTCATGCCTAGGGGCACAGGGCCAGGCACCCTGGCCAGCCCACCCCCACTTGCCCCAGTTGCAAGCAACATTCCTCGGCCAGGGCCGACGCCAGCTGGGGTATTTATAGCTTAGGATCTGGCTGCTCCTCAGGCCCCTTCTCTGGGGAGGCCGAGCAGGGATGGAGGCCTGTGGGGCTCGGGTGGCAGGCGTCCTTGGGGGGCTCAGCTGTCACCTTGGTCCCCAGCTGGGCCTGGCCTGTCTTTGACAACCACAGAGCCCTGGTCCAGAGCTGGTTCGGGGGAAGCCTTGCCCAGAACAGGCTGCCATGTGTGTCGTGGCAGCTGAGGCTAACGTCGCGTACAATGGACCGGGGTAGGCTGCTCCATCTACACTAGCTCAACACTATTTGGCAGCCTGGGAAACAGGCTTCAAGAGTCATTGTCACCTTCAATGACAGACAGAAGAAGCCCAGCACAGTGGCTGAGAGGCAGGGCTAGGGATAAGACAGCCCAAATCCCCCTGTTCTGGTCCTAGATGAAGTGTGCAACTTCAGACCACTGATTCTAGCTCTCCAGGTTTTCTGCATCTTGGAACTAGGGATAAGAGCAATGAGCACCCCAGTGCTCCCAAAGGGTGAACTTAACAGGGATAGCATCATAGGGGCTTCATTCCATTTCAATGCCACTTATTAACTTTATTTTTATGTGCTGGGAAATGAACCCAAGGCCTCTGCACTGAACTATATCCCCAAATGTTTTTAAAATTTTGAGATAGGATGCTAGGTATGGTGGCACAAGTCTGTAATCCCAGCCCTTGGGAGGCTGAGGCAGGAGGATCACCATGAATTTAAGACCAGCCTGGGCTACAAAATGAGCTCAAGGCCAGCCTGAACGGCACAGTAAGACCCTGTTTAAAAAAAAAAAAATTCTGAGACAGGGTCTTGCCAAGACAACCTGGACAGGCTGGACTTGAACTTGCAAGCTCAAGAGTGCTGAGATTGGGGGCTGGGGAGATAGCTCAGTAGAATAAGCACTTGCCTGGCAAGCTCATGGCCCTGAGTTCAATCCCTGGTTCCACCAAAAAAAAAAAAAAAAAAAAAAGAGTGTTGAGACTACAGGTATATGCCATTACACTGGCTACTACCTAACAAAACAAAACCAAACCCTTAAAAACAAAATTATCTGGGATTATGGATTGCAAGTTTGAGAGCACCTTGGGCAACTAAGCAAGATCTTGTCAGAAAGAGAGAGAGAGAGAGAGAGAGAGAGAGAGAGAGAGAGAGAGAGAGAGAGACTGGGGATATAGCTTAGTGGCACAGTACCTGCCTTGTAAGTATAAGGTCCTGAGTTCAATTCCCAGTATGAAAAAAAAAAAAAAAATCAAAGAAGAAAAACATGGGCTGGAGATGTAGCTCAGGGAGAAGGCTCTGGGTTCATCCTTCATACCAACCAACCAACCAAACTACCAACAAACAAGTAGAAAACACAAGGGGGAAGTGTTGCTGGAAGCTTACTTTTCTTTGTTAAATGCCTTTTTGAGACAGGGTCTCACTAGACTGCCCAAGCTGTCCTCCTTGCTCAGTCTTCTGAACAGGTGGGATTACAGATATGTGCTACTTGCCTGGTTTTTTTTTGTTTTTTTTTAAGTGTGTGTGTGTGTGTGTGTGTGTGTGGCCAGCTCAGCCCACCAGGGGGCGGGGCTGGCTGGCATGTGGTGCTGGGGGATTGAACCGCGGTCCCTGTGCTTTGCTAAGCTTGTTCTAAGTAGGTGCTTTAGACCATTGAGCCATCTCACCAGCCCCTTGCCTGTTTTCTTGACTGATCGATTGATTTAAAGAAATGCAGGTCTTGTAGGTTGCCCAGGCTAGCCTCAAACACCAAGGCTCACATGATCCTTCTGCCTCAGTCTTCCAAGCAGCTGGCATTAGGGCATGTCACCACATCTGGCTGAGAAGGCATCACTCTGCCTGAGCTCTATCACCAGGCAAGTGATCCAGTCTTAATTATGCAACTTGATGGATTCTGAGACTTAGGATTGATCCTTGTATCCAATGCCCAGGGCCAGGCCTGCTCTGAGTGCCACCCCTGTGCTATGGGTTCCACTAGCGATGCTACGCTTGCTGCTCACTGTCCCAGCTGAGGAGCTGGGACAGGCCCAGGGGCACCTGCCTGACAACACTGCCCCCTTCTCCCCCACCAGTCTGGTGCTCGCAGTGCAGCAGTCCATGGCTGCCCAAGGACTCTGTTCTCAATCCTCCCTCGTTTCAAGCCCTCCATACTTGGACTCTGACCTTGCCTGTCATCTGCCTGCAGAAATCCCAAACTGAACCACCTCGTGCCCCTCCCCTGGGGCCCCACACTGCTCCAAGGAGAAGGGTTATAGGGTGATGGGTGGAGGTCAGCTTGTGGCTGGCGCTAGGAAGGGAGCCTTGAGGGGTCACTGGGCTAAGGGGTGAGTGACCAGGTGTCCTGGGCTGGTCCAGAGACCTCTCTGAGCAAGAGCTGCTACATGCATCCAGTGCTTTCTCTAGGAGAACCTTAGGGACAGGGACACCATCAGAAACCTTTCAGCAATGGAGCCAAGTTCTCCACTGGGCTGTGGGGATGGACAGCTCTTGAATCTCTGCCTTCAGCTACACCAGAAGGTGAACAGAAGCCTGGCTTGGGAGGAACCTACTGGAAGGCTGTCCCTGTGCTGACTCAGTGGGTCTGGCTGTCATCTAGTGCCAAGGCCATCTCCTCTCTGGTACAGCTGTGGTTGGGGGTGGGCACAGTACCCAGAGAAGCAGGCAGACAGGGAGGGTCCACAGCCATGAGCCCACACTTACCTCCTCATCCTGTCTCTCCAAGAGTGGGATGGGGGCAATCTAGAGCCCTTCTGCCTCGAGCCAGGGAGGCTCAGGGTGCTGGCTGTGGCTTAGGTCCCCAGAAGGTATGGCGCAGGTAACCAAGGAAACGGATAGCAAGGTGGGCCCAGAGGAAGAGCTGTAGCCACAGCTGGAAAAGGATCTCTGAGTCCCCCTCTGGGCTGCTGCCTGACCCTGGATCCATCCTCCCAGGCCCTGCTGGGCTCTCCCTGCAATCTTCCCTTTGCTGAAGAACCAGGAAAAAGTAAAGCCTGCTAGCCAGTTTCCTTGGGAAGGCCTCTGGGGACCCAGGAGGAGGAGCTGGTTGCCAGGGAAGCACTTAAAGGTACCTGCTGCAGGCTGCCAAGGTCTGCCAAAGATCCCCTTGGCAGGAAGAGGAGGGAAGATTCTCTCAAGGGTGTCCCTCTGGCCAGCCCACCTTCCCCAGGGTGGGGCACTAAAGCTAACTTCCCCTTCTGGCAACTTCCACTGCTCCAGGGATGCCAGGCCCTGCTGTCTTCCATGGGTGCTAGACTGTCCAGAAGATGGCAATCAACATGCCCAGGGGAGTGCCCACTGGGCAGAGGGGAAGGAGTTAAGGCCTGGCTTCTGCGACAGCCAGATACTCCCTAGTGGCTAAGGAAGCCCCAGAGCTCGTTAATTACCTGGAAGAACAGCTGGAAAGAAAGGATGGGGGTGGGGAACAAGAGTCACCCTATCTCCTCCTTTGAGTTCTTTTTAACCTGGAGTCCCCAAGTCTTGCTACCCTGAGAGAGAAATGGGCACATCTGTTCTTTGTCTTGTTCCTGTGTGGAGCCTCCTGGCATGTCCTTGGCCTCTGTCAAACCTTGCCCTGTGCTTGGCTCTCCTCTCAACCATGAAAGTCCAAACCGGAAACCAACAGCTAAACCCAGGGAGGGGGAGGGGGAGCAGCCTTGATCATCTTTCTCCTGCTTTCCAGATTCCCAAAGAAGCAGAGAGTCAGTGATAGCCTCCTCCTGAGTATGTCCAGCACCCATGGTCCCTGCTGGCAACAGGAAGTGACAGAGGAGAGTAACCTAGTGAGCAACTGGCCTGTGGAAACTGCTGCCCAGCTCACATCTCCCGTGTGTGTGTGTGTGTGTGTGTGTGTGCGCACGCTTAGGAGCCACCAGCCTCTACTGTGGTCCAGATTTGATATTGGCTCAGAGAAAAACTGAGACAATCCTTGAAAGCCCAGAATCAATCTGGGTGTAGTGGTGCAGGCTTATAGCCCCCACATTCTGTGAGGCTGAGGCAGCAGGATCCCAAATTTGAGACCCTGTCTCAAAAACAAATGAACAGGTTGGGGATATAGCTTAATGAGAAGGATGTGAGTTCGGTCCCAGTACCAAAAACCAAACAAAAAGCCAGGACCAGCAGAAGGAAGAAATCAGAAATTCACCACCGGAGATCCTTAACAGCAGAAAGCCAGGTTGGGGTGGAGACACCCCAGGAGGAACCCACTACAGAAGCCTCTTCCCCCAAACAATGTTTGATTTTGTACCTTCCAAAACGTGGGAATTGTGGGGCAGGAATGCCCAGCCTGAGCTGGAGGTCCTAATCCGGGTGGGTGGATTCCTCCAGTCCAGTCAAGACCCCTGTTCCGGGCTGCAAGTCCCTCCCCACCCCCGTTTAAGGAGGTCCCTGACAGTGGACTGGACCAACCTCCATCCTGAGCCCCACCCCCATTACAGACAGGATACATACGCCACTCTCTGTTGGACACCAACACTGAGCTGCCCCATTCTCCAGTCTGAATTGGACTGCTCTGCCTTCCTCGTCTGAGCTGAAACCCCACTCTGCATAGTCGGCCCCCCTCCCTCCAAACACGGCCATTTATCTGCTCTACCCCAGGCCCCACATCCCAGGGGTGTTCCTAAGGGCCAGTCAGGAATCCACGGACTACTCCTCGACCCTAAATTCTGCTGCAACCTTTCCCTAACTTGAAGGGTAGAGAGTGCTTGGGAAGTTGCTATAGCAACAGGGCTCAGCCTCACCATCGGTGTAGCTGGAAGCCATCACTCGGTCTTCTTCTTAGGGAACTTGGACTACGGTGGCTGGGATGGCTCATAAAACCTTAGTACCAAATTGGGAGGTCTAACCCCAGATCCCTGCCTGTAGGGGGAGCCAGGGAGTTTCGGGGTCGGAACAGGAAAAGATACCCTACCTAAGCTAGTGGGTGCAGGGAAAGGGCAGGTAGAAGCCTTTGAACTTCTGCTGGCCCAACTGTGAGAAGGGCGAAGCTACCCTGGCGAGACCCTCATGAGCACCCATATAACTGCCAAAGCACAGAAAGGCCTTGATCCTCTTGAGCCGCCGTAGGATATTAGCGGGCAAAAAATTCTTCCCGCAGGACTTCCTGGGATCTCCTTTTTTCAATCCCCCACCTACTTGTCTTTGGGACCTGGGGGTCTCCTAGGGGAGTGGCTCCCTCTTACAAGCCCTCCCTCTTTCTTTGTGGGCCAACTCCCAGGGGTGTCTTTAGCCAGTGGTAGCAGAAACCCCAGTCCCACTTGGCTGTCTTATCTCTCGAGTCTCCTGGGGCTACTGCCCTCTTAATTCCCGCTGCGCAGCCAGAGTTCGGGGCTTGCCCTTTTTTCTCTGCCCTCTTTGCTTCTCACTCTGGCCCCTGCCAATGGCATTGTCATCTTTGGTTGCAGAATGCCGCCATCCCACTCCAATTTTAAATCCACACTGTTTTGGGAGGAGGCGGACCCTGCCCTGCCCTGCCCTGCCAGAGTTGACTGCTTGCGGAGACAGAAGATTTCTGCCTGGTGCTACTCAAGGTTTGGGCTGGGGAATTTTGCAGGGTCCATTTAGGCTGGTGTGTGCCAGTTGAAATGGAGGTGCCCCCTGCAGGAGGCTTGGCTGCTACGGGTCAGATTGTGTATGATTCCATCCTAGAATCAGTGGTTCCAAGCAAAGAAGAGGACCCTTCCTCATCTTACGTCCTTTGGGGGATGTGCAGCTTCAGGCATTTTCCAAAGTGTGATAGGGTCCACTGGCAAAATGTGGAATTACTTTAGGGATGTTTTGTTTATCTAGTTACATTGGTTTTTTCTGGGTTTTTTTTCACACTGTATTTTAATGTGCATCCGAGAATGCAACTGGTATAGCAATCTCATGACTTAAAATCTTTTTTTTTTTTTTTTTGGTACCCAGGGATCAAAGTCAGGACCTTGCACTTGCCAGACAGACACTCATGATTTAAAACCTTTTTGCAGTAGTAGGGATTGAACCCCAGGCCTTTCTACAGCCCTTTTATATTACTGCTTAGTTTGTCTCCGAAGAGAGTTTAAAAAAATTTTTTTTTCAGTACTGGCTGTGAATCTAGCATCTTCACGTAGAAGTACATCTCTAGCCTAATTAGTTAAGACAATTTTGCTCAGTGATTAGCCGAGGCTGGGTTTTAACTTTCAGTCCTGTTTTGGTCTCCCAGAGTGCTGGAATTACAAGAGCATGTTGCCAAGTCTAGCTTGTATTTTCCTTTTTGTTTTGAGACAGGAGTCTTCCAACATGGCCCGGTTTGGACCTTGCCATCCTCCTGCCTCAGCCTCCCAAGTGCTGGTGTTATAGGTGTGTGCCACATCTAGCTAGTTTTTATTATTTATTTATTTATTTATTTTGGTGGAACCAGGGATTGAACTCAGACCCTTGCACTTGCCAGACAAGAGCTTATTCTACTGAGCTATCTCCCCAGCCCTATTATTTTATTTTGAGATGAAGTCTCACTGTGTTGCCCAGGCTGGTCTTGTACTGGGCTGAAATTCTCTCACCTTAGCTTCCCTGGTAGGTTATGACTACAGGTACTTGCCATTGTGGTGCTTGGATTTTATTTTGTTATTAGTATTTTGGGTTTATTTTTTTGAGACAGAGTCTCAGTTGTAGTCCAGGCTGGCCTTGAACTCAGGGTGATATTCCTGATTCACTTGCCCACATGCTGAGATTACATGTGTGCTCCACCATGCCTGGGACTTTTATAATTTTAAATTGAAGTATATATGAGTGCGGTAGATATGAGAAGCAGCTTAAGAATATCTGAGTTGGGAGATTTTGGGGTCCAGGAAGTTTGCTGGGAGACAGATCTAGAAGTGAATCCTGCCCTTGTGACATCATCTATGTCAGCTAGCTTATTTGGAAAATTTGGATAACAGCCCATTATGAAAAATCACTGGAGCAGATATGTCTACGGAGACCATTTAGCTTGGCACATCCTAGAAGCCCAATAAATAGTAGCTCTATTTCATCGTGATCGTCCAGTCCTGAGTGTCTGGCCTGCGTGCTCAGAGAATTAGCAGTTCCTTCCGGAGCCTCTGATCTTTTTCTTGGGATCTTTTTCCCTATGTGGTGTTCCACCCCCACTGCATGTGTTTGATATGCCTTGAAGGTTTTCCAGAACTATGTCACTTCCCCAACTTTCAACTGAGCCACTGCGATATACAGCTGCTGGCTTCCACCTCCACCTCCGGCTGGTCTCACCTGCTGGGGGCCGGGCCCTCCCCTTTGCCTCATCCCGGCCACACTTAGCCCCAGACCTTTTTTGGACACTATCCACCTGCTCCTCTGTCATCAAGCACTCAGCTACAGGCACTTGCCTCCTGTTCCCCGCCCATCCGTGACATGTCAGGCCCCTTCAAGGCTGCTCCCTTACTCAGTTCTGCTGTTTGAATCTGGGCAGGAGTAAAGTGCCAGGACTTTCATGGCTTTTCCTGTCTCTTTGGAAGGGGGCATTCCAGGGACTCAGACACAGGTTTAAGACCAAGAGCTGGGAGAGGCACAGCTGGATGTTGCCTCCCTTTTCAGTTTTGAATATTTCTGAGTAACTGAAGATCCTGCTGAGATTCAGCTTTAGGCACAGTGACAATCTGGGAGATTGGACAGCTAGGGAGGGGGTTTAAGACTGTCTGAAGGTGTCTCCCAATACATAATCTTCCTCTCTGTCTGGAAAAAGTCAACATATATGGGGGCTCCAGAGGACCACTGGCTGAGCTCTGGGTATGAACAGAATTTATCCCTTGGCAAAGCACATCACTAGGTTATTCTTTCTCCATCCTCAGTCCTCTTTTTGACCATCCAGTTCAGGCCCACGGGGTCTTGCTAACCCCAGACATTTCATCCCCAGCAGACAGCCTGGGAGAAGCCCTGGGGACTGGGTGAATGACGGAGCCTCAGTTGTGAAACAACCATTTATTGGTGGTGGTGGGGGCTCTAAGGAACCTGAAGCTCACCGCAGGGCAGGAGACTGGAGGGGGAATCTATCGCACACAAACCTCCACCCCCAACCTAGGAATGGAGACGCCATGAATCCCAGCAAGACCAGCTCACACTTGGCTTTGCAAGCACTGAGACAGTTCCCTAGGTTCATCAATAGTCTGCTACCCTAGCCAGAGACAGACGCTCGCTTGGAGGAGGGAAGACAAGCAGAGAAGCAAGAGTGACAGGATGGTAGAAGAGGGGCAGAGGGACCCAGAAAGATCCCGTCCCTCATGTCAAGTGACACAGAAGGGAAAAACAACGCTGGAGGTGGCTCTGGGGAGCGCTGGGGTGTGTGGGGGGCAGGGTGGGCTTGAAGGTGAGGGCCGCAAGGAGGGGGAGGGCAGGAGGAAGATGGCGGGGCGGAGGGGGAGGGGTGTGGTCACCGGTGGCCAAGGTCCCTGCGTGGACGCAGACCCCACGCACTCCTGGCTGGCAGAGGCCGAGTGAGAGCAGCAGTGGGTACCTGAGCCGGGTCAGATCTAAGGAGGGACAGGGTGCGTAGTGAGGCCCGTGTGGGCCCGGCGATCACGCATGCTGAGGTTGGCGGTGACAGCTGGAGGGGGCCCGGCCGTGCAGTAGGGGCGCCTTGGGGACGCGCCCTGCGGAAGGGCAGGATCGGCCGCAGGCCGAGATAGGGCCAGGGCCGGGGCCGGGGCCGGGGCCGGGGC